AATTCCTTGTTTTCCCTGTGCTGTTGAAACATAAGAATTTTTATTCCACAAAATATTTCATGGGAAAAACCCAACTTTTCCTCCTCTGGCATTGATTTCAGGGATTGATTTGACCTTTTTCTTCCATCGACCTGAACATCAATTCCTTCATTGATTCCATCCAAAATGTTTCCTTTCGGATTTAATTGTTCCAAATGGAAATATCCAAGGGGTTGGGTTGAAATCCTTTCGTGGGATGATCTCTGAGCCTTTAGGTAGAATCCCTGGAAAAGTTGTTTCTATTTTGTGGAATTTCCTGTGAATTTATTCTGTTGTTTGGCTCATCCCTTTAGGATCAGTCTGGTGTGTCCCTCCCTCTTGCTGTGGCTGTAACCCCAAAAAATGCACTTGGGAATTCTGGGGGATGGATGGAAATCCCAGATTTTTCCTCTCCTGAAGGCTCTGTGTCCAGGATAAGCACAGGATGTGTCTGAAATGGTTTCTGAACTTCCCAAAAAAGAGCCAAACTCAGCTTGGATTTCTGATTTATCAGGATTTTCAGGGGAATGTGCTTTGGGAAATGATTCCAAAGGAAGTGTTGGAACATTTTCAGACTTCAGGTCAGATTAGGGTGGGTTAGGCCTTAATAATTTGTGTCTGAGGCCCTGAAATCAGGGAAAAAATGAACACAGAATTAAAATGCTGAGCGTGGCTGGGATCCATGAGGAATTTTATTTGCACTTCCATATTTCCCATCATTCCTGTCCTCAGGGGTTTATTCCAAAGAGTTGCCTCCAGCTTTTTTGGGATTGCAGATTGGACAGCAAACCTGTGGTTTTCCCACTGCTCTCCACAACCCTTGAAATCAACTCCACCAGGAATTATGATCTGCTCCAAAGATATCCAGGAAAATGACTTGGAAAGCCTTAATTTACATTCCCATGAATTTTTCCAGGGGAAAAGAAATGTCCTGAAGTGAGGTTTGTCCATCATGGGCAGCTCTGGTGCCATGGCAGGAGAAGCTTTTCCATGGGAGCTGGGGCTGGGAATTGGGAGCAGTTCCTGACCCTCATCCACCTTCCCTTTTTTTTTTTTTTTTTTTTTGGAATAACTTTGCTGTTGGAACCAGCACGGTCTCAGTTTGTGCTGAGCCTCATCTTCCAAAAATTTGATGTTCCAGCATTTGGGGAAGGTCAAAGTCTCATTTTCCAGGATGGGTGATCCTGGGGCAATTGTGCCAAAAAAAGGAATTATTCTCACCTTAACCATGCCGTGGTTATTTGGGGAGAAAATTTTCTTTTCTGGAGTAATTTCCCAAATAAACAAGCCTGGAAAATAACAAGGATTCCCACTTTCCCACGAGGAATTTGATCACAAGCATCAAGGGCAGGATTAGATGTGAAAAGTGATTAATGCAGGAGCTCATTAAGGACAGGGACTGAGGGGGGGGGGGTGACTCTAAAGCAAAACTTTGCTCATTTAATAAAAACTTCACCTCACAAAAAGTTCTTTGGTTGAACTTCACCTGGTGTAACTCGGGAGAAATTAGAGA